CGATATGTCCACATCCATGTTTGGGATCCGCCTATGTAAATTTCATCAACGGCTGCTTCATTGTGGGGGTTTGCTGAATCATCGCCTGCTGGTGCAAACTATTTCTTCACAGGTATGTGATCATTTCTTCAGTATCTTTCAAAGGCTTGTTTGCTTTATTTGAGGTCGGTGAGGAAGTATGTCCACTGTTGATGTATGAAATAAGTGGCAACTAAAGAAATAAGATGTCTGAGAAAGGCCGCAGGAGTGAACAGAAGAGATAAAATAAATGAAATCATATAAGGAAAAGTCAGTACAGAATCAAAACTAAATTTTGTATAAAGACAGCAGATAAAATGGTTTGCCCTCTTTGAGGGAATGCTATGCGATGTCAGGCCAACAAAGTATACACCAAAAGTAGAGAGGCGTGTAGACCAAGATAACATAAATTTTAAAAGTTTGATGTGCTTGTGGATGAAGCGGCCAGAACAACAAAAATGGGAACCTTATTATCTCCCTCGACATCTGAAGTGATAAGGGAGGAATTGAAGATGTATGAAGTTTTAGTTTAAAAATAAATATTCATCTACCACTGTTTAGAAAGAAACTGTAGACAGCGGTTTTAAAAAAAATGCAGTCTTTGCTGTGTTAGGATCTGCTGACTATTGTTGGTCAAGACCCAAAGCTATCTTCTTCTTCTTTTGTTCGCTTGAAATAAATTATCTTTATCTGCAATTTTGTCTCTATTATGAACTTTACTGTCTTTCGTAATTCACTCAGCGACCCGTAAAGTTTGACTTGTGCTATCTCTAAGTGATAATCATGGAAGAAAGGGAATTCACTACAGTTGATTTATGCAACTAAGAATTTGAATAGAAATAATAGCCCCTCTACGTGTGAGTTCTGGGATCCAAATTGTTTGAGGACTGAGAAGCATGTCATTAAAGGCAGTTAAATTAAGGGTATCCTGAAAGGCACAGGTGTTGTATGTCAGCTGTAAATCACAAAAATGTACCAACCACCCTTTTAAGGATGAATGATTTGAAGAACTAGTTGAAGTTCCATAATACCCTATACTGTCATTAGATAATATTGTGACATCCCCAAGCAAGTTGATATGCTTGAGAACTTGGGTACCCTGATAACAGCAGACAGATGTACTAAAGCAATTATAACTCAAGTAGAAGCAGCATTTTACAAAATAAACAATATTCTCTGCAGTCTTTCTTAGTCCATAGAAGTGAGGAAGAGAATTGTCAAGAGCTAAAAAAAATAATCCTATCCTGATGTATGGAAGTCAGTTATGGACAGTTGGTTGATTAATGAAAAATTATGTGGAAGTGGCGGAGATGGGGTTTTATAGATAAATGAGAACTCCTCGACAGATTAAAACAAACAAAAAAGTAATGAAAATGTCCTGAAAAAAACTGACTCACAGGGAGAACTGATTGCTCATATCAGGAGAAAGTCTTCATTCTTTGGTTCTGTCATGAGAAGGAGAAAACCACGTTATATCGAGACAGTGAGAAAGTTGGAGGGGCAGAGGAGACCAGGAGAGAGGCGATGCTGGACAGTTTGACATCATGGCATGGAAGATCCTCTGTGGCAGAATTGATGTAAGGTACGGTGCACGAAACATAAGGTTGGGGATAAACATGACTGCCATCACAACATGGCATGGACCAAAAGATTCTAAAAAGGAAAAGAAGAATATAATGTAAGATTTACTTGATTAAAGCATCTTCTTCTTCTTCAGCATTCTGAGCCCTTGAGGTTCATTGCTGCAGATATCACTCGCCTCCTTTCATCTCTCTGGTTGGCCATCTCTTACCAGTTTTTTTTTACACCAAGTGTTCGCAGATCTGTCTGGACATTATGTCTCCATCGTCTTCTTGGTCTGCCTCATGGTCTCTGGCCATTCATGTCCCTTGTGTATAGTTTTCACTTCTCTGTCATCTGACATTCTCTCAATATACCCTAACCATTTCAGTATATTAGCTCTCATGATGCCAGTGGTCAATGGGGATTTAAACCGATTATGAATTTTGTTGTTGCTTCTCACTCTCCATTCCCCGCTGTTTGCTGCATCTTTGATGGATCTAAAGATTCGTCCCAAGACTGTTTTGGAAAACCTGTAATAAGGCTTCATCTCTCTTAGTTGTGCTGCAAGTTTCAGAGCCATATAAAACAACTGGTCTTATCAACATCTTGATTTAAGCACACCACTCATTAACCCCCAGCCATAGTGTAGAGGTCTTAAAATGTCTGCGTGCCCTGTAATCTGAAAGTAGGTGTGCTCTTCTTATCTTATCTTTCCCTTGTGTGTAGTTTTATGTGTGCTCTCATGTATAGTTTGAAGCGTCGGTAGAAAGGGGCAGGGGTTTTTCCATTGCCTGTTAGCATTTACGCAGTACTTTTTTGTGTGTGACTGGTGTATATTGTGGTTAAGGCCTCAATCTTTCTTTCACATTTGTGATCTGTAGTTTAATGCAGTGTTAATTAATCATAAAGCTTTTTATTGTAAGTTCTGTTGTTCCTTGTGTAACTTTTAGATGATTAGTTTAGGATGTGTTTCCTCACAGGGTTACTTAGTGTGCATTTAGTAGGTCTGTATACACTAGAGTTTGTTAACTCTTTGAGTATCTAGGAACACATCAGATGTTGATTTATAATTAGTTAAACTGTCTTCTGGTAATGCAAGTGTTAAAGAATATGATGCAGAGACAGTAAGTAGGATAGACATGTTCACTATGAACATATTTTCTTCTTCAGCAATTTTGACCAGCTGCTAACTCTACAGTAGGCCATATACTAGGATATCATCTCAGGGTCTCTTAGGTTTCCCCAGAGCTTAGTTGTCAGGTCTACTGGATGTGGTCACAAGTTGCTTTGCAACCCCTATAGAAGCGGACAGTCTTGCAACACCTGTTCTGATGTCTCTTCAGCCTGAAAACAATGGCAGAGAGCACATTTTTGGGGCTCCTACATAATTTATGAGCTTTTGTTGAGTCTGTAGTGTCCACTGCATAAGCAAATAAATTTTGACTTGGTCTGTTCTATTCAGATAAACGAGGGAAATCTTTTCTTTGTTATAACCGGTGTTTGTTTTTCCAATCTGATTCTGATTTTCTCTATATGAGAATTGTGACTTTTGGAACATATTGGGGATATTAATATTGCTAACATTTTAACACTTCATTATGGGCTGTTTTGCAGTGCTTGCATACTAGTTAATTTAGACTAAAAGAGTGTTTGCATACTAGTTAATTAAGACTGAAAGAGTGTTTGCATACTAGTTAACTTAGAATAAAAGAGTGTTTTTATACTTGTTAATTTAGACTAAAAGACTCAAGTGTGACTTGTTCATAGTATTTTTTTAAAAACCATGGATATAACTGACTTAGATATGGAGGCAATTGAGCAAGTTGATGGAGGCATTCATAAAAGCATTAAAATTCCGACAGCTAGAGAAAAGAAACAGGCTAAGGTAATTCTACATTTCAGGATACAAACAACTTATTTACTGCGTTATCTCAGGCATTAAACGTGTCTTCTTTGCATACACTCAGTCAGTATATGATCTATAATATTTCCAGCCTTTTTATTTGAATGGAGCTAGTAAAAGCCAAAAGTTTCTATTCTTCAGACTGTTTACGCCTGACCCCTTGTAAACATTCTGTCACAGAAGTCACAGTTTTTAAATTTCCTACTCTACTCGTACAGTTGGTGGACTGACATACTTGCATTACCATATGAGATTTTCAATCACAGATGAATTTCTACAGATTTACCCCTTTATTGATCAGAAACAGACAGAAGAATGTTCTTCCTCTTTGATGCATGTCAAAAGTGGTGCAGCCATCTTTAATTGTCTTTATGATGTCACCTTTTTCATCTGCACCATGATGTCGCCTGCGTTAACACTCTTGACATCCTTAACAACAATATTGATAATTGCAAGACAAGGGCATCTTTTATCTCTATATCCTCTTCATGTCCCTGTTGACATATAAGGCATTAACAATTGTTCTCCATTGCTGCCTGTCTACTGCTTTTCTGCCCATGGTATCTTATGTCGGTGTACATATTATAATTTGAGCATCTGCTTTTAAGCTCAACACCGTAAGATGTAAGGAGTTAAAGTAACAACTGCTTCCTACTTAAAGAGTTAAGGGAGGGGTCAAGGCCAAAGGTTAAGTGGTCTTTTTCTTTCAATTACAGTGTTGACCTGCGTGTTTAAATTACAGTGTTGACCTGCGTGACTTTTTATTAAAAAAAATGTTCTTGGAGCACTATTTTCTGGGGAGAGCAATTGCATCATCTGCATTATCCGGGTCAGACTAGATTGTGGCTGATCTAGTCAGAGAAGCAAACCAGTTGTTCCTGCTTCAGTCAGCCAGTCCTTATCACTGTTGAGCCATGTTAACACAAATTGTACAGCTGCTTTCTAAAGCATTCTTTTACCTGCCAGAAAGGACTGGTCAAGAAAAAGTAATTAATATTTTTGCCTTGCTTGTATTGTATTGTTATTTATATATATATATATATATATATATATATAGATATATATATATATATATATATATATATATATATATATATATATATATATATATATATATATATATATATATATATATATGTGTGTGTGTGTGTGTGTGTATAAATTTGCCACCATTTTCCTCTTTTGTGCTGTTAAAATTTATTTTTGTTAGTTTTTGGATAGGGTGACTGACCATAGTACCATTTTTGCCGGGACAGTTCAATTTTTTTTTTATTGTGTCCTGACCGTCTCTGGGTGCTCCAGACAAAAATGTCATGTGTGGTTAAGCTGAATCTCTTGTGATGTCCCGTATTCAGCTCAAAATATTAGTGGCATATTCTGTTTTTTTAGCTCAAGATATTATGGTCACTGTGTTTGGAGGATGTTCTTGTTGTATATTGCTGGTAACATAGTGAGATTGAACTAGCTTTCAGTTTCAGTTAGGTTGTTCTTCATAAAATATGTTTGCATTTTTCAGGTGACAGAAGAGGTCAACAAATTGCTAGAGCTGAAAAAGCAACATGGAGATAATGGTCCCAAGAAGTTTGTGCTCAAAACTCCAAAAGTATGATATAATTATTTCTGAGCAAGTCATGTCTTTTTTTACCCTGTCAGACAGCTCATTTGTGTCAGAATTTAACAAAAAGTATATAGGGTGTAGGAAGTAAAAGACCCTTTTCCAAGCCTTCAAATGTATTTGGCATATAGGGCTAGGCCTGTACTTTATATTATAGACCAATCGGCACTTGGTGGATGATGTGGTCAACATCATGCCGGTCGCCTTTACTTCCCAGGAAATTACCTGGTACCCATCTGAGGCTGGTCAACGTTTAAGTCAAAGTCTGGCACCATCAGGACCTAAACCAATGACCTTCAGGTCCACGAGCGAGCAGCTGGCTGCTACATTAGGGTGGCTGCCGTGAAAGAAGAAGGAGGGGGTATTTTGAGAAGATGGGGTGTAGAGGAAGTGCACCAGGACCAAGGGCTCATTCTGGTCAAGGGACCTCTACTTTACGGTCATCAAACTTACTGGTCTAGAGACCTCTGCACCTCTTCACGGTTATCATAGAAACTGGTTGCCATCCGGGGGCCTGACTAACATAGATAGTTTCTCCTCATAGGTCAGCGTGCATCAGCCTGAGAGAAATGGAACCAGCAGTCTGCACACATGTCAGCCAGATCTGTGCATGCAACGCTCGCGTCTTGGAATAAGAACAAATTCCTAAAGTGATAGAACAGCCGGGACTTTCTGACAGCTTACTGCTGGTAAAGCGAAGGAGCAGTTGCACATGGCAGAGGGTGTGGATAAATGGACTGGAAGCCCTATGTGCCTTTAGAATGGCACAAGAGGATTATGAGGGTGAAGTAATGTAAAGAGCAGGAAATACACGTAGATAAAATCGTTTTATAATTATTAAGTTGCTCCAAATTTTATATAATTTCTGGCAGACAAAAAAAAAAATGTCCAAATGCTCATGTTGACTTTTGTTTTTGGTGGTTGTTGTTGTAAATATTTAAATTCTGCAGGATTTAAACATTTCCCTAACTAACTTTGTCCTTCTTACATTTGCAGGGCACTCGAGACTTCACCCCAGAACAAATGGCCATCAGGGAGGGCGTCTTTGACAAAATTATTTCCTGCTTTAAGCGTCATGGTGCTGAAACCATTGACACTCCTGTCTTTGAGCTGAAGGTAGGAACTCAAAACTTTTTTAAAGCCAGCGCCTGTAGCTGCTTTAACAGTATTTATGCCGTTGTCTTCTGCTTTAAAACAGCAATTTTTGTGTGGGTTCCAATGACCATTTGTGGGGGAGGAGGGGTGTAGATCTACTGGCTTCCTAACGAGCATGTCATAAGAGTTGACTAATTAGGGATTGTTTTCCCCAGAGTGGTGCCCCGGAATCCACATAGGAAAATCTGATTATATCTGCCTTGCACTTCCTGTGTGTGTTGAGTGTCGGTTAGATCCCATGGTCACTACCATTTTAAGGACATGAAAAGATATCAAACCAAACAAAAGGTAGAATCATTCAGCTTAACATGACCACAAATGCAAATGATACAGGGGTGTTTAGGCTAGACAACTTTCATCAGCTCGTTATGTGAATATCCTGCGTATCCTTTACTGGACATTGCAAAACTAACCCCAACATTTTTGCCTATTAAGGGTTTTCTAGGCAAATTATACATTTACTAATTTGCCATTGCTTACTCAACAGTCACCTCTCAGGACGGCTGTCGAAACCAGCGCTACACAAATTGTCTTCAGCTGGGATTGAACCCATTACCCCAGCATTACAAAGTTCATTCGCAGCACCTAAACCACGGACGCCGACTACATAAATAAAGACCACAAATACGAACAAGAATACACAAAATCACTTAACTGCACTATCTCCGAGAGAAATCATACGTCTGTCTGGCCAATTGAGTCTTTAGCACAGGTGTGAACACTAGAAATGCAGACTAGCCAGAAAAGGGACATAACTAAAAATATAAGATAAAACTATGTTGGATGTTAAGTCCTTTAGGTGAGTTGGGACCCATTAGATAGAACTTTTAACAGGATATGCAGAAGAAGATCTATGCAGTTTTGCCCAGTGTGGTGTGTTGTAAGAGTATTACAGTAGCTAGCACATTTGCCTGCTGGCCCTGTAGTTAATGTACTCTAATCCGTTCAGAAAATCTAAAGGCTTCTTATAGACCTCCTGAAATTGATTTAATAAGATCACATACTTTCGCTGTCTACAAACATTATTTACAGAAAATATTTCTTTTCCTGTTTAAAATCTGGAATATATTGAACGCCAATATTTTTGCAGTTATAATTTTCGTACACTTTCAGCTAAAGCAGTGTTGTTTTCAATAAAATTTAACATACCACACCTTGTAATTGAAAGCTATTTAATAGTACCTGAGGTCTGAGAAGATAAACTGTTGTTTGTGGTCAAGTGGGGTTAAAAAAAATGTTGCTTAATTAATACTCCAGCACATTTTATATTCTGTTCTTAGGAAACACTGACAGGTAAATATGGGGAGGACTCCAAACTCATCTATGACCTGGCAGACCAAGGTGGAGAGTTATTATCGCTGCGCTATGATCTCACAGTAAGTAAAGGGGGGGTGTTTGACTGCTATGAGCAGGATGTATTGGTGTTGGCATATCGTATAGTCTTTGGATAGTTATTTCATCATCATCCTGTTATGCCAGTATACGTCACATAGGGCTTGAAGTTTACTTCATTGAGTTTTATCCTGTGCAACCATTTCACTATCGTGGATGGGAATCCATTCTGTCACTTTGGCCTCTGTCATCGTCCTTCGTCTTAGGGTTCCTCGTGGAGGTCCTTTTTTCCTCAATCCATTTGTTTCTAATTATAATGCCTGTTTGGTGATTCTCTTCTTGCAAATTCCCAGATATGCCCCCCTGTAGTGCCATCTTCTTTTTGTCCATGGGAAAGTGGTGGAGTCAAATGACGCACAGTGAGGAGGTCATTGCTTTGTTTCACAGACTCATTTATGGGTGCAGTTTTTAATGGAGATACCTGAGGATTGTTGCTGAAGCTAAAGAGTTCAGGCTGTGTGTGTGTGTGTGGTGCTCTCTCTGCATGCATTAGTTCTGCGGAGAAAAGCAGAGGCAAATGGGATAAAACTTGTGCATTTAAGTCAGTCTATCTACTTTACCTTTAACTCAAACGAAAGTACCCTCATATCTTCTGAAAGGTATTGTTTTTTTGTGTGTGTATCCTCTTAATCTCTGTCACGCGTATTTTATCTAATCTTATGATTGTTCTCTCCCCCCCCCCCCCCCCCCCCCCCCCCAGTTTGAATTTGCTGGCTTGGTGAAATATTCATCCTTCTACAGTAAAACCACACTTAAGAAGAGCACTTGAACAACATTTTTGTCATGGTGACGATTTACTAAAAAAAAAATATTTTAACACAAGCTCTTGGTTTTTTTTGAGTGCCTTAAAATTCATGTTAACAGGGTTTTACTATGTTACAGTATCCCATTTTGATATGATTTTTTAAAAATATAATAATTATTTCTGTTTTAAAATTGGTTTCTACAACGTCTTGGCATGCCAGTATATTTTACTGTATAAGATGTGAATCACTGTTTTACAATCCGCAGTGTAAAAGGTCTAACACAAGTTTGTCATCATCAGGTACCATTTGCTCGCTATCTTGCCATGAACAAAGTGAGCAACATCAAACGATACCACATTGCCAAAGTCTACAGGAGAGACAACCCTGCCATGAACAGGGGCAGGTTCCGAGAGTTCTATCAGTGTGTAAGTAGATATGGTGCGCAGATTCTTTCTAGCATGACCCTTTTTTCTGGTGGTACACAGTCTGGTGGTACACAGTCTGGTGGTACACAGTCTGGTGGTACACAGTCTGGTGGTGCACAGTCTGGTGGTACACAGTCTGGTGGTACACAGTCTGGTGGTACACAGTCTGGTGGTGCACAGTCTGGTGGTGCACAGTCTGGTGGTACACAGTCTGGTGGTGCACAGTCTGGTGGTACACAGTCTGGTGGTGCACAGTCTGGTGGTACACAGTCTGGTGGTACACAGTCTGGTGGTACACAGTCTGGTGGTACACAGTCTGGTGGTACACAGTCTGGTGGTACACAGTCTGGTGGTACACAGTCTGGTGGTACACAGTCTGGTGGTACACAGTCTGGTGGTACACAGTCTGGTGGTACACAGTCTGGTGGTGCACAGTCTGGTGGTACACAGTCTGGTGGTGCACAGTCTGGTGGTGCACAGTCTGGTGGTGCACAGTCTGGTGGTGCACAGTCTGGTGGTACACAGTCTGGTGGTGCACAGTCTGGTGGTACACAGTCTGGTGGTACACAGTCTGGTGGTACACAGTCTGGTGGTACACAGTAGCTGCAACTTTTTTCAGCTTGCTGTAAAAGTCGGCGAGCGGTAAGTACCGGCACCTTTTTTAGACGCATTGTTGGTGGGTTTCCAGCACATTTTTCTATAAAAAGTCCTTTATGGTGAACCAAAACGGCATGGGAAGGACATGAGGTGAGCCCATGATAGCAAAGATTGAATCACTTGGCACGAGTTGGTTAAAGGTCTGTGTTCTTTAACCATATAAAGGGGGTGGGGGGGCAGCTGCTAAACAAGCATGTCATAAAAGGTGATTAATTATGGGTATGATGAACTCTGACGAAAGATGCAGATATTGCAGCGTGGCTGTAAACCACAATACAGCCCCCCTGTTATGCCAAATGTAGATGAAAAATAATCGATTTTATTGTATGATATAACAGATATTATAGGTCCCTGTGTGGGTTTCGGTGCCGTATTATAGGGGAGAAAAAAAAGAATAGGCTCACTGTCCCAAAGGCATGTCGTAAGAGTCTACTAATTGGGAGCTTCTTTCGAATTCGAAGTGCATTTGCCTGAGAGGCAAGGAACCAGCAGTCTGCATACAAATGAGTCAGATCTGTTAAACGGATGTACACGCAACATTCAGGTTCTGGAACTGGACTGCAGTCCAGAAGTGGAGGAACAACCAGAACTTTCACCAGAGTTTACAGCTAGTGAATGCGAAGAAGAAGATATAGGTATATTTTTGTAGTGTTTAATCAAATACACCACGGGGCAGAAGTAGGTCAACTAATGATTCAAATGCAAAAGGTTCCTTCAGTGACTGTGACAGAAGACAGTAGCAACATTATTTTTCTTACGAATGACCGAGATGCCTGGTTAGCAAGAATAGTGGGGGAAATTCAAGAGAAAAGCTAAGAGAAATACTTTGGTGGCTTGGCCACCTGAATGGGGCAGGACAAGAGCACTGACTTACTCCTTGAATTCTATCATTGTGTGTGGTTGCCAACAGTGACTGTCTGTGATTAATCAGCATGGAACATGCTAATGATGAACACATTATTGTTTCTTTGTTATTATCTAAAGGATTTTGATATTGCTGGACAATATGACCCAATGTTGCCGGATGCTGAATGTATAAAAATTGTGGTAGAAATCCTGTCAAGCCTTGATATCGGAGATTTTGTAATCAAGGTAACAAATCATTTACTTTCAAGTGTGGTTTTACACACACACTGTCTGTCCCTCTGACTGTCTGAAATAATTACATTTCCTCTCTGTTTCTCTCTCTCTCTCTCTCTCTCTCTCTCTCTCTCTCTCTCTCTCTCTCTCTCTCTCTCTCTCTCTCTCTCTCTCTCTCTCTCTCTCTCTCTCTCTCTCTCTCTCTCTCTCTCTGTGTGTGTGTGTGTTTTTTTTTTATACCTCGCCACTCTGCCTCCCTCCTTCCTGATTGATCGGCACCCTGGTTCACTAATAATCAATAAAGAGACAGTGTATTGATCGGCACCCTGGTTCACTAATAATCAATAAAGAGACAATGTATTGATCGGCACTCTGGTTCACTAATAATCAATAAAGAGACAGTGTATTGATCGGCACCCTGGTTCACTAATAATCAATAAAGAGACAATGTATTGATCGGCACTCTGGTTCACTAATAATCAATAAAGAGACAGTGTATTGATCGGCACTCTGGTTCACTAATAATTAATAAAGAGACAATGTATTGATCGGCACTCTGGTTCACTAATAATTAATAAAGAGACAGAGTATTGATCGGCACTCTGGTTCACTAATAATTAATAAAGAGACAGTGTATTGATCGGCACTCTGGTTCACTAATAATCAATAAAGAGACAATATAATGATCGGCACTCTGGTTCACTAATAATCAATAAAGAGACAATGTATTGATCGGCACTCTGGTTCACTAATAATTAATAAAGAGACAATGTATTGATCGGCACTCTGGTTCACTAATAATTAATAAAGAGACAGTGTATTGATCGGCACTCTGGTTCACTAATAATCAATAAAGAGACAATGTATTGATCGGCACTCTGGTTCACTAATAATCAATAAAGAGACAATGTATTGATCGGCACTCTGGTTCACTAATAATTAATAAAGAGACAGTGTATTGATCGGCACTCTGGTTCACTAATAATTAATAAAGAGACAGTGTATTGATCGGCACTCTGGTTCACTAATAATTAATAAAGAGACAGTGTATTGATCGGCACTCTGGTTCACTAATAATTAATAAAGAGACAGTGTATTGATCGGCACTCTGGTTCACTAATAATTAATAAAGAGACAATGTATTGATCGGCACTCTGGTTCACTTGACACATAAATTAACACTTAACATTTCTCTAGTAACCTGGCTGTGTCAATTTTATTTATTAAAATTAAATTATTTTCAGTGTAAGTTTCAATTACATTCTGAATTTGCGACTGTCAGTATCATTGTCGAAATCAAAATAAACAAACAGAGGGGGAACCCTTGAGGCCGTTGAAAAATAAATATCAATGAAGTAACAGAAAATGACAATGTATTGATCAGCACTTATAGAATGAAGTAGAAAGATAGAAGAACACACTAGACAAAATAAAAATAGAAAACTATAGTTACTGTGACAGGTTCGATTCCTGGCACGGTAACTACAGCTTTAGATTTTTATGTTGTCTAGTGTGTTATACTTCTTTCTGTGAGTGCTGATCAATACATTTTCTGTTACTCCATTGAAATCGAAATAAAGCTGTCTTCTGCCAAAACGCCCGTAGTTGGAATCAAACCAGGTATCTCAGAATTATAGAGCATGTTGACAACACCTAAGCCACAGATGCTGACTGCGCTACAGGTGAGTCTGAACTTTTCTCTCCTTAGACAGTCTGATATGCCCTATAACGCCTCCCTCTGTGTTTTATTGACAGGTTAACCACCGTAAGCTTCTGGATGGCATGTTTGCAGTCTGTGGAGTGCCAGATGATAAATTTAGGGCTATATGTTCAACTGTTGACAAGTTAGACAAGGTAATTATGACACCTGTGTGTGCTGAACATGTTTTTGTCCACAGTTGTCTGATCCATAGATACTGAGAAACACCCCATCAGGATAATCTCATAATCCGTTGTCATGGTCGAGGTGTTTTGGTCATGTTAAATGTTATGGTTGCCTGGAAAGGTGATAGGTGGTTCTATGTCCGAAAATGAGGCAGAGATAGACCTCTGCAAATGTGGATACATGGTTTTGAAGATGCATTGTCTTTGAAAACACATAGGGCTGGAGAATTTGCTGGAGAGAAACTTCCAGGCGTGCTATGATGAGAGCAGCATTCCGTAAAGGATTGATGATGATGATGAATCTGTAGAATTAAATAAAAATGGGTACCTGGTATTGTCCTGGGAATTAAAGCTGGCTGATGTGATGTGAGTCTTGGACTCTCACTCGGTCACTGAGGAAAAAGATTGGAGCTTTTGAATCAAGGAGAACTGGCTCATAAATAGTATCCTCTCCCGGAATTAGAAGTATTTTGGCCACATGAAGCGTCATGGTGGCTTGGAAAAGATGGTGATGGGGGATGCAGTTTGTGGAAGGCGAGGCAGGGGTCGACCACCGCGAATATGGATATAAGGCATTGAAAGCACATGGGGGCCGGATAGCTGGCTAGGGAAAGGGATACTTTCAGACGTGCTGTGAAGGGAGCGACGTTCTGTAGAGGACTTGCTGATTGATGATGATGTGATGTCCACCATACCACCCTCTCACTGCCAATTGGTCTATAAAAAATAGAAGCCTAGCATTGTAAGCACGATGCACAAGGTGTTCTTGTCTGACTTACTCTAGGTAATATTGAATAGTAAAAAGTAAATATCCAATATCGGAAAGGTCCAAAACCATATGTCCCAGTTATAACCCAAGAAGAATGAACTAAATATAATTGACTGATGAGTGATGAAGACAAACAGGATATAATTGACTAAATTACTGTTGTTCATCCAACACAAGTGATGAAGACCACTTTTCATCTGAAGTATGCTAAATTACTATTAATTATACTTGAAAGCAGAGACCCCTATGTGGGTTCTGGGGTCCCATTGAGGGAAAAACAAGAACAGACCAAGACCTGTTCCAGCTGACGGGCCCTGCTGCTGCTGTCACCAAACCGGGCTAAGGATACGCCAACGCAGCGATTCTCAAACTGGGTGCCGCATATGTCAGGGGTGCCACGGCAGTAATTAACATTTTTTTTTCCAAATCTGCTTGACATTAAATTTGCGCTGGTTTTTTTTTTGTCTTCTTTAATCTTTCTTAAGTAATCAACCTGCCTTAGTGCAGGTGTGCCGCAAAATGTTTGAGAAGCGCTGCTGTAACGTATCGTTAGCCCGCTTTGGTGGTGTCAGCAGCATGGCCTGTCAGCTGGAGCCAGTCTTGAACAGACCCACTGCCTTGGCATTTCATACAAGTTGACTAACTGGGAGCTTCATTCGAAGTCAGAGAGTCCATCTTGCATTTGCCCAAATGGAGAAAGAAACCAGAGACATAATTCTAGTCAGAATAATTCAAAACTCAAAAAATTTCTAACTTTAGACACTGAAGAAGAAAACAACACTCTACATTAAGATAAAGAGACCTTTCCCATTTTATCAATAACCCATTACAGTGGATTTCCCGTCAGAAATAAACTCCTGAGAAAGCTAATAGACTTGATCAAAAGAATGTTACAAAACTGTGAAGGACCATACTTTATAGAAGGAGAACAGTGCAAAGGATTCTAATAAATGAAACAAGAAAGGCTAAATAAATAGGCAAAGGCTGACTTGAAAAAAAAAATGATGCCAACTGAAATTTGGTGACAGTATCAGTGACCTCAGAACAAATCAGAGGTTAATTTTATTTTTCATTTAACTTTTATATTTCTGAATTGACTATTTCACTTGTATACATCTTCTGCTTCTTCTTTTTCTACTTTTTCTGCTTCTTCTTCCTCTTCCACGTCTTCTTCTGTTTCTTCCTTTTCTGCTTCTTATCATTCTTCTTCTTCTTTAGTCTTGTTCTGCCTTTCAGTGTCATGTTTTGAAAAGGCATAGATGCTGGTATTTACGACCTCAGATGTTCCATCTATCCATGGCTGGCGTTGTCATCCTCTGGGTCTGCTTCCATTATTGTCTAAATGACAGGGCCCTCTGTGGTGCACTATCTGGTGGTAATCTTGACACATGCCCAAACCATTTGATCTGTTGTCTCCTAATGTAGTTCAGTTCAGGTTGCATCCCAACTTCTTTCCTGATATCGCTCTTTCTGTTCCTGTCTCTTCTGGTTACATTTGAGGTTGGTCATAGACATTTCATTTCTGTTTCGTTTTTTTACATAAACATCAGCAGTCATATTGGAGGTTTTTAATTGTTTGGGCACACTATTGTTGGGTGGTTTTGATCTGTCGGGAGTGCTTGCACAGAGAAAACAGAGAGCTCAACCCCCTCACAAATTTATAGTATGGCTCAAAGGGGCCTAAGCCTTGTGTGTGTTGAATGTGCTGAAATGGCAAAGATAGGTAATAGAATATTTAAAGAAAAAAATGTATAAACACTCATCAACATCATGTGCCCTGCCAACTGGCGTAGGCGCTCATGCGTCTCCACAGATCACGATCCCTGGTTGCCTGGAACAGCTGTCTTGATGATATCCCTCCATGCCGTCGTTTCAGCTAATCCAGCACCATCTCTCTTGGTCTTCCTCTACTCCTCCTCTTTCTACTGATCTTTCCAGTTGTCACAATGTTCTCCTATGTCTCTTTTCTCATTATGTGGTCAAAGAACAGTGTTTGTCTCTTTCTTATTGTTGTATATAGAGATCTACTTTCATTAGTTTCTTTCAAGCAGTCGTTGTTAGTTACTCTGGTGAACATGCATATGTGTGTGTAAATTTCTTGTGAGATGGTTCAGTATTTCTTTTGACATGTAAATACCTGCTGTTTTCATAGTACTTACCACTGACATAATATGTGGCTTTTACAGACTTTCTGGGATGATGTACGTGATGAGATGATTAACGAGAAGGGTCTCGATTCAGAAGCAGCTGATATGATAGGAGAGTATGTCCAGTTTAAAGGTACGGTTTCAAATATCTTATATTCCTGTTGTTTTTTTCTTTACTGCATTGTACTTTTAAAAGCTGTAAGAGGAGCCCCATTTGTCACACCTGAAGTTTCAAAGATCAAAATTATTATTATATATTTATAAGGAATCTCTGTAGAATAATTGGAATAGAGAAATTAATCCTATGTATGTTTGGAAGATATTTATTACACAAGGCAACATGACAATGGAATGTGGAGGGCTTAAACACCTGAACAAAACATGTGTTGACAAAAAGGGTGACTTTCTAAGATATCTCTGCATTTGAATCGACCACAGAGGTGAAACTGGTATCTCTGTCACTGCCATAAAATCTTGCTCTTGTGATATCTGTGCAAAAACACCTCATTCATAGTTTAGGCATTCAGGGCCCAGCAAAAGGCAATGTTTAGCATGCCTTTATTTACAAATTTTGTCCTCATGCAGCAGCCACTTCAAGCTACCCTACCTGATTGTTCTTGGGGGGGGGTTTGGTTTTAATGTCTGCTGTCTTGGCCTAGACATACTTCACCTTGCTTTACTCCTAGGTCATACTAGTGTCAGAGATTCATAACTATCCACATATTGATAATATTTGCCATGTGTTTGTGAGGGCCCTTTGTGGGGAAAGCAAGAATAGACCCAGTGCTTACCCGACCAGCATGTCTGGGAGCTGGCTGACTGGTGGCTTCTTTCAAAGTCGGAATGCTTCTACCTGAGAGGCAAGGAACCAGCAGTCGGCATACAGATCTGTAGAACAGATATGCATGCAGCACTCAGGTTCTGGAACAAGACTGAAGTCTAGAGGTTGAAGAACAACCAGATTTTTCTGCTGGAGTTTCAGCTGGTGAACGATCAGTCAGCTCTGTCCATCCAGTGCTGTGTAGATAGTATTTGATCTAACCTGTCCTTTCAATAGTATTTTATCTAACCTGCCCTTTTATTGTACAATTTGTGTGTGTATATTGATTTTTTCTTTTTTCTCCTAGATTCATGATTATCCACCAGTCAATACAAAAAGTAAAGATCCCTTTTCACGCCTTTATGCGCATCGGCAATATAGGAAGAGCACCCACATTTTCACAGACCAATTTGCACTAGGTGGGTAATGTGATCAGCATTACGCCGGCCATCTTTACTTCCCCAGGACATACATCCTGGTACCCCAGTTTTAGGCTGGGTCGACCTGCGACGCCCCATACCATGATAAAAATCCACACAGCCAGCAGTGGGTTTTCGATTGCGGTACGTTAGAATTGAAAGTCGGACTCGCAACGCCTAAGCCACTAGTCAATACAGCGTTGATGGTATCAGCTTTGTCCATCTAATGCAGGGAAGAAGATATTTGAGCTGTCCTTTCATTGTATAATTTCTGTATTTTGTTTGTTTTGGTCTCTCTAGGAGGGCTTGATCTGGTAAATGAGCTGTTGAAAGATAAAAACTTAACCACAAAGAAGAATGCAGTAGAAGCTTTAGAGGAGATCAAACTGCTGTTGACCTACTGTGAGGCTTACAACGTCAGTGACAAGGTTAGTGTAACAGTAATTGTGCTGACATTTTAATGGAAAATATTAGTCTGACTGAGATGAAATATGAAAATCAAATGAATGGAAGCATGTAAGTACTTGGGTGCAAACTTCAGCTGCTCCAACATGCTGAGAGAAGAAATAACAATCTGGAAATAAAGTATACTATGCCCTTGAAAATCTGCTAAGGTCAAAGTGTCTGTCTCGCAACACCAAGATCTAAATATATAAAATTTTGTTTTATATGGCTCTGAAACTTGGAGCATAACTAAAAGAGATGAAGCCTTATTATGACGAATCTTTGGACTCATCAAAGATGCAAACAGCGAGGAATGGAGAGTGAGAAGCAACAGCGAAGTTCATAATTTGGTTTAAATCACCATTGATCACTGGCATCATGGGAGCTAATGGGCTGAAATGGTTGAGACAAATTGAAAGAATGTCAGATGACAGGGAAGTAAAAACTGTACACACGAGAGAGATAAATGGTAGTAGACCAAGAAGACAATGAAGAGATAATGTCCAGACAAACCTGCAAACACTTGGTGTCACCAACTGGAAAGAGGAGGCCAACAAGAGAGATGAATGGAGGTGTGTGATATCTGCAGCTATGAACCTGAAGGGCTTGGAATGCTGAAAAGGTAGAACTGAGAAAAAGAACTAGTCATTCATTCAATCATTCATTCTATTCTGTGCAATCAGTTTGATATGGATGGAATTTGGTCCAGCAGCTTTGGCCTCTCTCAATAACATTCATTTTAGTGTTTCTTTTGAGCGTCCTTGCCTCCTTAATCCCTTTCTTTTCCATTTCAGTGTCTGTTTGTTGATTCAGTGCTGGCTTCCTCTCAGGATGTGTCCAGTATAGCGGCATCTTCTCTGTGTTATAACTGTTGATAGTAGTTAGAACCAGTCAGCTAGTTAGTAAAAAATAGTCATCCCTGTATGGGTTTCTTGGTCTCATTTGGAGGCGGGGGGGGGTAAACCCAAAACTGTCTCAACAAGCGTGTTGTAAAGGTTTACTAAAGTCCAAAATTGCACGAACAACCAGAACTTTAAAACTATAGTGGGTGAGGAAGTCCACTGCAGTAAAAGTCTAACATGCAAAAGAAGCAAAGTACTCATTTTGTGGTGTAGGTAAATGAAATCCCAGGCCTGCAGGCTGCATACTGTTGGCTACAAAAGAGATAGCCCATGATTTATGAGATGTTCAATACATGGAAGTGAGGTTAAACAGTCATGAGCAAGACGTGACGATTCCTTGGGTGAGCCCAGCACCAGAACACCATGTATTAGCTCTGCATTTGTGGAAGCCTCCTTGGATGGCGGGGAATGCTCATGTTCTGCCCCTGCCTTCTCTTGAGGGCTGATCAGCATTATGTGGCCTCTTTGGATAAGCCTGATTGGGGCACCACCTGTGACCTGGGAAATAATGATGACCACACAACAATGAGGCTGCCATGTCCCCAGAAACTAACCGGGAAAGCTAACCCGGTCAACAAATGCCTGCAGAAGTCAGATGTGTTGGCTGAAAGGTGCAAATATCGCAGCCATGCTGTAAACAGACAGTGCAATTACATCTTCGGATGAACGCAGAAGAAGAAGAAAAAAAAATACAATTTTAAAAATGACGTGAACACATATCAGTCTTTATAAGAAGTAGAACCCTAGTCATTTACCATATTTTCCCCAAATATAATATAAGACCATATGTTTTCCAAAATGTTATAACGTTAAAATTGGGGGGTCGCCGAATGTCGCAATTAAATGTATAAATTAATACATGCCAATATCCACATTCTCCCCTTGCCTCTCCTAAATCCTGGTCTGGTAACCACTGCCTTCCTGACATTGTCCCAGCTCTAAATCGCAGCTCTTCATTTAGCATTCGCAACTGCTGGCGCTCATGGAGTAAATATGGCACATATACCGTCAACACTGAGACAAACGGGCAATACACAGGCGGGAGAACTAGAGCTGCGGCAACAGTGGAGTTACAGTACACTGAGCTGGCAAGAGCAGTCACTCTGGGCTGTAATATTTGTATTGAGAAAGGCCTTACTTTCTGTTATTTATGAGGGCTGGAATGGGATCAGAGGGAACAATCTCGTAATGTCCCAGACTTGTGGGGGAAAACAAGGATAGACCCACTGCCTCCACAACAAGCATGTCATAAGAGTCAGCTAATTTGGGGCTTCCTTCGAAGTCAGAGTGCTTCTACCTGAGTGACAAGAAACCAACATTCTGCATATAAGTCAGATCTGTAAAACAGATGTGTGCACAACACTCCGGTTCTGGAACAAGGCTAAAGTCTAGAGGTGGATGAACAACCAGAACTTTCCACCACAGTTTGTGGTCAATGAACGTAAAGAAGAATAAGATAGGAAAGAGAACTGTTATACAGTACCACTACCAAATTCTTAAAAAGTTAGTTGCTTATCCTTTACAGAACGTTGCAGAACCAACCCCAGCAGTTTTTACCTGTTGTGGTTTTCTAAGCAAATTCGTCGCGGGCCAGAGCTCCAGCAAAGATAGATCACTAAAACAGTACAATTTCAGGTGACCCATGGGTCACTTGCTAAGCATCTATGGGCCAGATTAAGCCTGCGGGCCACCTGTTAAATAGTTCTCTTCTAGAAGATTGGCTTCTGTATGACAGGTTAAGAATGACCATTTCTTTTCACGGCTTTAACATCCTGACACATTTATCTATTTATATCTGTATCGTCAGGTGTGCTTTGACATGAGTCTAGCTAGAGGTTTGGACTACTATACAGGAGTCATCTACGAAGCTGTTTTGACAGGTAAATACCAAAATGAGTGAGAGAGGGTGGTGTGTACATGTCAGAGAAGGAGAGATTGAGTTAGGACTAAGTGTGTGAGAGATTGAAGAAGGGAGTAATGGCAAGAGAAACAAGTGCGCTGGAGTTAGAAAATAATGGAACGAATGAATTAGTTTCTTGACTGGATAACTGTGATCTCATTTTTAGCTTTATTCTTGGAGAAATGACGTTTCATATTAATCATAATAGAATATTATCATTGGAAGTGGGTAGAAAATATTGTCATTGTAAGTGGGTAGTCTTTTGTTGTGCATATGACTGCATCTTTTTAGTTCTGTGGTTGAAAGTTTTGTTAGCACATTTCATGGTCCTGTATGTGCCAGGATTCAGTTTCCACGGTGAGCAGTTGAGATAAAAGACCATTTTCAAGTTTTTTTGTATGTGATACGAAAGTCGCACAGTTGAAGAGATTAGAGTAGGGGGGGCTACATTTGAGCCGCAGGCGAAAACCTCCCCGCCGAGCAATTTACTGGCCCGTGATGTTCATGTTAAGATATTAATTAAAATTTGGTTTTTCACCCTGTTTTTCCTTAGTAATATGATTTCTGCAAAGAACCATCTTTGAACACCCCTGGGCCTTCCATCAAAATGATTCTTACCCTCCCAAACCCCAAATGGGTCCCGGGAACCCAATGGGAAAATTCCTGTCTTAGTGTGCCAGCCAAAGCTGGCTAACTTGCAAACATTCTTCTTTGCATTCACCAGCTGTCAACTCTGGTGGAAAGTTCTGGTTGTTCGTCCACTTCTGGACTGCAGTCCTGTTCCAGAACCTGAGTGTTGCGTGTGCATCAGTTTTACATATCTGATTCACTTGAATGCAGACTGTTGGTTCATTGACTGTCAGGCAGATGCACTCCGACTTCAAAGGAAGCTCCCCAATTAGTCGACTCTTACGACATGCTTTTGGGTAGGCAGTGGATCTATTCTTATTTTCCTTATAATAGAGCCCCGGAACCCACAGGGAGGACTTGCGAACATTGAAAGCCCTTGTGTTACTAAGAATTTCACATAAATAATATTTTATTGTGTGTATTTATATTCCATTGTGTTTTGCATTTATTTCAAATCTCCAGCTCACAGCCACCAGGCATCAGCCAGTGGAGAAGAAAATGTCGGAGTAGGCAGCGTGGCAGGTGGTGGTAGATATGACGGTTTGGTGGGGATGTTTGACAGCAAGGGGAAGAAGGTGCCTTGTGTCGGAGTCAGTATAGGCATAGAGAGGTTGTTTTCTATCATGGAGGCCAAGGCATTGGTAAGAAAATGTTAGGATGCTTTGAGAATGAATGAATTAATTTATGTGTTTAAGTATGGAAGGACTTGAATTATGAAGGAGGGGCAGGGGCCGACCGACACGAAGATGGGCACAGGATATAAGTGACTCCTTGAGTGTGAAAGTGCATGAGGTGGGAGAACTGGCGAGAGACCGAGTTTCTTTCAGGCAGACTGATGAGCGTGACGTTCTGAAAAGGACCTGCTACATGATGATGATTTATTTAAGTATGGATGAGCTGCATGCAAAAGATAAGACAACTTGGCATGATTTAGTTGAGAGCCTCTGTCCTATTGCGGGATTAAAGGAGAGAGGAAAGATTTTAATGTGGGATGACCAAACAATAGCAAAAGGCAGGATGATTTACTTGAGAGCCAATGCTCTATTGGGGTATTGAAGGCAGATAAATAAGATCTTCCTTTTACCTTGAGAAGAAACCCACTGCTCTTCAGCAGTAACATCATAAAAGGCAACTGATTAGGTGTTGCTGAAATATGATGTGTTGGGCGGAAAGGTGTAGATGTTGCAATCTACATATTAACTAAAACACATTGTCTTGTGCAGACCCCTTTTATGGACAAATTCAGAGAAAGAAAAAAATACTCTTTTTTTTTTCATTTTATGTGCGTTGTAATGAACCTTTGCTATACCATGAACCTTCGCTATGCCGGGCTAGTCGCTTGGCTTGTCTGGTCCGGCAGGGTCTCATGCCACTGTCACATTACAGCACAAACATGGCATTCGTCAGTCCACAATAAACCAGTATTGACAACCAATTACTTCACTTGTAATTTAACATATGAGCAATACAAAACTGCAGTCAGGGAGTGTGTTAATACTGCTGCATACATATTCTCAAACACCTGAACAGAACAGACCAAGTGAGTTTTTTTGCTTATGCGGTGGACACTGCAGAATTCACAAACACTCATATAAATTAGGTATGGGCCCAAACAGCTCTGTGCCAGTATCTTTCTGCAGAACAAACTCCAGAACATGTCTTGCAAGACTGTCCTCTCTTGGTGGAGCTGCGAAGCAACATGTGGCCACACCCAGTAGACCTGACAACTCAGCTTTAGTGAAAATTATGAGACTTTCAGATGGCATCCCAGTTAATGGCCCACAATTGATTAAGCGAGTGACCAGAGATTGCTGAAGAAGAAGATGTTGCTGTCCATTCATCATAACCTTCTTGAGCAGCTCCCTTTTCATAATTCAAGTCTTAACATCATACCTGCAGTCTTGGTTTTGTCTATTTAATCCTGCACTCCCAACTGAATGCTAATCAGGATTATTACAGTAATCATCCATTGCAGTGTTTCTACAAGCCTGTGTCTTAGTACATTCTAATTTGACAAATTTTTTTTTTTACATTTGCTTTCCCTTTCCTTTGGCTATTCCCAATCTACCTGCAAGGCAGCAGGTTTATGTATCTGTCGGGTTTCGATCACTTGACCATGGCCACGTAGCAGCTAAGCTGCTGTGAGCATAGCTATCTGTGGTCATTTCGACCCACAAGCCCTTCTGTTACACCATCGTGAAGACACATCGTGTGATTCATGTTTTTGATGCTGTTGAACTTCATTCTGAGAGGCGTAATGGCAAGATGCTCGCCTGCCTGCCCTAAGGTCATTAGTTGTAAATATAGGCTCTAGCATCACTGAGAACGGGTTGCCCCGGTGACTGCATCATTCCTGTGCCAGCAGAAATCACATAAAATGTCCCCTCATTGTCTCATTTGATAAAAATAGAAGTCAGGTTGGTTTATTAAAACCTTGACCTTGGCTCCTGGGTAGACCTTTGTCAGAAGTGGAAGAAGTAAAGATAGCCAATGTGATGTTGGCCACATCAACCAGTACAGTGCCAGTTGATTATAACAATCTTGAGTCTAGTATCATATGCATGATGCCTAACTCTTTCAGTCCCAAACAATGTATGATGTGTGACTGTATTCACTCATGTGCACCAGTCAGAATAGTATGATGCTTGTACATTTTATGTTTGGACGCAGTATAGTAAAAGACCCAACAACACACCAGTCTCCTACAAGGGTTGTGTATTTAGCTCCTGTGGATGTAGTATACCAATAAGTTTGCTGCTGTCATTAGTTAACCCCCCCATGTGGGCATCAGCTGTGACCTTCTGGGACTGAAAGAGTTAATGGTTTAGAAAGAAAGGTGCTTTACCTACTTGCTAAATCCTACCTTGTTGTTTATTTATTTATTTCAGGCTGCAGCGAAAAAGGTTCGAACCACAGAGACAGAAGTCTATGTGATAGCAGCTCAGAAAGGAATGGTAGAGGAGAGACTGAAGCTGTGCAATGCATTATGGGATGCTGATGTCAAGGTTGGTACAAAATGTTATTGTTATTTTTAGGTGCCATTGATGAAGTGATCTACGAAGACGACGACAGAGAGATAATGTTCAGACAGACCTTCAAACACTTGGTGTCACCAAGTGGAAAGAGAAGGCCAATCAGAGAGATGAAAGGAGGCGGGTGATATTTGCAGCAATGAATCTCAAAGGCTCAGAATGTTGAAGAAGAAGAAGTTAGTGTCTGCCTCAGATTTAGTTAGCTAGCTGAATCTCGGCAAACAACAGACTGCACACAAGCAAGCCAGATCGGTACAACAAATGTGCATGCAACACTCGAGTTCTGGAACAAAGCCAGAGTACAGAAATGGATAAACAAACCAGAACTGTCTGCCGGAGTTTACAGCTGATGTCTGAAGAAGACTTCCCTGTATACGCCACAGAAGTAGTGAATACAGGCAGTAGTTGGTATTTTGGCAGAACACAAAGAAAAAGAAGAGCTGAGCAGAGAGCAGTTAGTGTATTTCCATAAGCACCCTGTCCCCATCTTCAGCAGCCAAGGAAGAGGTCCAGTAGTTAACGGTATTAGTTTGACTTTATGCCAGCTTGCTTCATCTTCTTTGTCTTTGATTGTAGAGTGTCGGCCAAATTCCCTGGTCACTCACAGCGGAACCATTCTCTGTAGACTCTTAATGATGACCTGTTTGCATTTCTGCATTGTTCACTTGCTGCCAAAGTGCTTTGGCCATATCTAGCTTTTCATGCATCAGTTCACCACCTAGTGGTGCAGGATCAGCCAGGCTATCTGACTGTTCATTTCCCAATACACCTGCCTACCTTGTAGAAGTTTTCCACAGAACACTAACTACCAGAGAACTCTGAAGCGATGCTTGTGGCAGTTGCATGGAGGATGTTTGTCTCCACTCTCTTTGATATCAGTGTGTGTAACTTCAATTATTTGTCTTCTGCATGGAATTTAAAACAACTTACTGAAATGAAATATTGACCCAGTAGTAACAATACATATGTCTATAACTTCACAGACTGAACAGTCATATAAAAAGAATACAAAGATGTTGAGCGAATTCCAGTATTGTGAACAAAATGGCATTCCTCTTGCGGCCATCATTGGGCAGTCTGAAATTGAGACTGGGGTGGTCAAGTTGAAGATAATTGGCTCCAGAGAAGAGGTATGTGGTATTTCATTGTAGTTTTTTCACGTTTATAGAAAATTTGTCATTTATATGTTTATGGAAGTGGGCATTTCTTTTTTGTACCTCCATTTACTTGAATGGGGGGGGGGGGGGGTTAAGGATCTGTACTGTACGATTTCTATTATTCTTTATAAGTGGTTTTCATTTCTTCTGATGTTGTTTTTGGTAAATTAACATTTCATCTACTTTTTCTCCATTGACCCTGGTGATCAATTAGGGGAATTATAAGGATTTTTTGTTGTTGTTGTTGTTGTTGTTGTATATAGTGTGTATGTTGACATTTCTTTTCTTAGTGTTCACCAGCTGTAAACTTTGGTGGAAAATTCTAGCTGTTTATCCACTTCTAGACTGTTGACCTTGTTGCAGAACTTGAGGTTTACATGCAAATGCGTTTTACATATCTCGCCTATTTGTATGCAGACTCTTGGTTCCTCACCTCTCAGGCAGATGCACTGTGACTTTGAAGGAAACATCCAGAATTAACCGATCTTTCGATGTGATTGTTAGGGGGCAGTGGCTGTCATCTATATTAAACGAGACTAACTGACACAGATTAATTAATTAGTATTTTTACCTGCAGGGAGTCGCCTCGGCGTAGTTTCTAGTTGCTCAAATGCGGGTCGGAAGGTGGTGGGTTTACTCCCTGGCAGAGCCTGCCTTTTTTCAAAAAATGACCTTGGCTCCCAGGTCGACCCAGCCTCAAGTGGGTACCGAGTGCAGTCCCGGGAAGTAAAAGGCGGCCGGCGTGATGCTGACCACATCACCCATCTTGTGCCGATTGGTCTATAAAAAATATAGGTCTAGCCCTATACGGCTGAAGGTGTGCAAAAGGGATCTTTACTTTTTAATTTTTATGTTTCCCTACCATTTCTTTACTGTAATAAAATGTGTATGATATGTATTGTTATTATCCTCTACAGAGAGACGTGCCCCGTTCAGATATTGTCCAGGAAATCAGGAACATGTTAGCGTCACTGAAGATAGGCAAAGAATCTACCAGTGGCAACTGAAATTTCCTTTCTCTTTATTGGTTGCACTGGTACTTAGTTTGCACATTATTCTTGGCTTGGTCAACTCTAGTGAAAGAAAACATGATAATTTTTTCCAGACTGTGACCGAAGTCTTGTAAGAAGGGGTCACCTCATTTGTATTTTGTTTTCTGTAAGACGTGGGCTGTAGACTTCGAAACCAAGAATGATGTGAAATGTTCAGAGTGGTGTCTGGCTAGCAGTTGTGGTGAATCGATGAGGCTGCTTTTGTTGTTGTGAAGGTTTATTGATTTGACTTGTTCACTTGAAGGATGAAGGATTTTAATCTCAAAAATCAAGCCGCTTGTTCATGACATAGATGCTCATTGTCTCCCTACTAGGTCTGCAAGTTTTGGGTGCTGATTGTCTGCCATTGTTGTGAGGATAGCCCATTATTTTAGCCTGCAAAGTTTGAGTGCCATTAGTTATATAAACCACACAAATTAGGAAATATTTTTTTATGCATGCATCAGTTGATTTTCATTCTTGTATGTATTTGTTTGAACAAATGTGGGTGTTGTGTATAATGTATTGACACTGTTGTAGCTTTATTTATGTCCTTGGCTTCTTCTTCTTCTTCTTCACCAATCTCTGTTAATATGCCTAACCCACTGAGGTTTTTCTTCTTTTTCTTTGCATTCGGTTTCGTATGCTTAGATAAGACCATCAGGTGGGTTGTCTCTATGAACTCGCATGTCAGTAGCAGGTCCTTCATGGTTCCCCATAGCTTGCTCTGCACACTTTGCTCTTATTGCCAGGTGTCTTTTCACAATGTTGTATGTAGAGTAGGCAGGTTTGCAGAATGTTCTTAGGATTTGTGGTCCTGTTTGATTGTTTTTTGCGAGTCTGTTTAGCTGGCGGATCAGTTCTCTCTCCGTGTGGTCTCGTGGATCCTTCTGAGTCGCCTAGAGCACTGACATGCAGTCACAAAGGAACTGAGGTTTTTGAAAAGATTATTTGTCAGCTCTACTGGCTGTAGACACTTGCTCCAGAAGAGTACAGTCTTGCAAAACATGTTCTGAAGTTGTTTAGTCCGCTCTGTCCAGTGCGCAAACGTAAAATTATGATTTGGTCTGTTCTATTTAGATGTTCAAGGAAATCTCTTTCCTATCCAGTGTTTAGCTTAGTATGATTGTGTACGAAAAGTCAAAGAAGATTTGAAACCAAATTTCAGTTTATGAATAACTGATCGCAATTTCTAGCAATTTTTTTTATTTAATTATCTGTTGAATCTCTGACCTGTTTTCTGATTTTCTGCCTCCATTTACCATGTTATTTACTGGCTTGCTGTGTCAAGTACCAGAAAAACTCCTCTTTTAAATACAGCATCTTCATGCAGTGTTGGTGGATATTTATTTATTTCCTTATGTTATTTACATCCTAACTATACGTACATCATTGTAGAATTATCAAAATTTTCTGGCTAAATACAATCTCAAACACTAAACTACTTTAGATCACAAACCAAGAAACTGTATGATAACCAAGAGAAGATGGAGATAGCTTGGCCACGTTATGAGAATGAATCCTGATATTCCTGCCAAAACAGCTCTCACGTGGATACCTGAGAGGGAAAAAGAAAAAGGGGCACCCAAAAACAACATGGAGATAAACGATAGAAAGGGACCTGAGTGCGGCATCTCTGACATGGAAAACTGCACTGAAGATTGCGCAGGACAGGAAAGCATGGAAAGTCCTCTCTGAAGCCCCATGTGCCACTAAGCATAAAGAAAATTAAGTATGATAATTGATATATGTGTATCCCTCTCCATTTACAATAATCAACTAAAAACATTGACACAGTTATAATATTTCTATTTATTTATCAACTCATGTTGGTTGATTTAGGTAAACTGTCTCGTTAATATACACAAGGCCCTGGCTGTTTGTCATCGTTCCGTTGCAGAACATCACTCTCATAATGCCAGATGGAAATCTGCTCATTGTTCACTTGCCAGTTTTCTCACCTTGTGAAGTTTCATGCCCAGAGTGTCCTTGATATCTTGTGCCCACCTTCGTGCTGGTCAGCCCCAGCATCTTCTCCCAGAAACCATGTTCTCAGCTGGTTATTTATATAACTTAATTTATTTGTCATGGTTGGGAGTTCGTATAACATTGGAGATTGTGGGGAAGGGAAGAGTACCGGGAAGGGTGTGTCATTACAGAAATGAACTTGAAGTGTTTCTTGACACCTTTCTTTCTTTCCAGACAATAGTCTTATATAGTGCTTAGGGTGGCTTGGGAATCACAGCCTGTGATGATGGCGAGTGTGACTAGTAAGACTTGCTCACATTAACCATTTGGAGATGACTTGGCCGGTCTGTCAGCCAAACAGCAAAATGGTCAAAAAGACGAATAGGCCTATCTGTCCGCCCAATAATACAAGCTTGTTGCATTTCTTGCACACATGGGCTGTTCATTGTGAGCTTTTGTGAAAATTTGTTGTTCTGTAATTTGTTCTGAATTTTGTTTTCTTGTTGGTGTTACCTGTGCCAACAGTGGTAAAAAGGACTTCTGAACCATACCAACCAAAACATAGCAGAAAAGGGAGTAGCATCATGTGACCCAGACGTGGGGGGGGGGGGGGGGGGGGGGCTACATGGGCCTTGCTTACTAAAACACACAGCTTAGGACTTATTCAGGCTTCATTCATCAGAAAATTTAGCCAGATTGTTTAATTTAGTCATGTTAGTCCTAAGTAACTAAAAAACAAAATGCATGCGTAACTATGCAAATACAGTTTACTTCTGTAGACCAGTTGGCCTTCAATTGCTCCATGCTGAGATCAGAAGTAAAATCTGGGCATAAAAGTATACTGTCCATGTTGTCTGTGGTTTAGGCGTTGTGATTGCACTTCGTAGTGCTGGGTTCGATCCCAGCTGTGGGCCTTGCATTGGTTTTGACAGTGGTATCGAGAAGCTAGCCATCAATGAAGCAATGGCAAACTACTGGACGTAAACTTGCCTAGAAAACCCACAACAGCCAAAAAAAAATGCTGGGGATGGTTCTGCAACGTCCTGTAAAGGATACGCAACTAAAAAATTGGTTGTTCCTTGCTTCTCAGGCAGATGCACTCCGACTTCGAAGGAGGCCCCCAGATAGTTGACTCCTACGACTTGCTTGTGGGGAAAGCAGTGGGTCAGTTCTTGTTTTCCCCACAATGGGGCTCAGAAACCCACACAGAGAGCAGTTTGGTCTCATGTAGCAACATCTTGGATGCTGGATGTTGCTCTTTTCTTTTTTTCCCAGCACATCAGGAAGATTCTCCATCCTACTGCAGTCCTCTTTCATTGTGTATTTTCATGCTGAGAGTGTGTCATATCTTGTATCCACCAGTGTGTTTGTGGGTGAATGGCTCCCATTACAGTCCTCTCCAAACCACTGATGTGTTATACTAAGTCAGGTGAAGTAAATGATGAACACTTGTCTGATTAGTAAACCAATTTTTGGAAGTGACAGAGATGTTTTATAAATGGATAATGAGAATACTCTGGACTGATAAAAATGGTAGTGGAGATGTCTTGAAAGAAACTCACAGAACTGAGTGCCTACATTAAGGGACTACATTGAGGGAAGCTCCCAGTTGGTCAGCTCTTACGGCGTGCTTTTGGGAAGGCAGTGGGTCTATTCTTGCCTCCCCTCCCTCCCTCATTGGGAGCCCCCACCCCGGAACCCACACGGGGAAAATACAATCTACATTCGTAGACCAGTTGGCCTTCAACTGCTCCAACATACTAAGATAGAAGATCAAGACATTTGTACAGGTTATGTAATGCTAGACCTATGTTTCATATACTCGACATCATGCCGGCTGCCGTAACAAATCCCAGGTTTTTACCTGGTACCCAAGGCTTGGTCAACTTGGAAGTCTTATGTCATTTTTTAAGAGAAGAAAACTCCATTCAGATTTTAACCCATAACCTTTAAAGCCACAGGCGAGCAGTCTAGCCACTATGCCACAGCAGCTGCCTGTATAGCACCCTCCACATGTGTAAAAACCACAATTATTTCTGTAATAGTTGTCCTTACCAAGTGTATTAAATCCTTGTCTTTTCACATCTCTGGAGCCATAACTGTTTAGAAATTACTGTATTTTTTTCAGTACATAAGATGGTGTGTTTTCCTAGATTTGTTAAAGTTTAAAATTAGGGGTTGTCGTTACACACAGAATGTGTTTTAAAGTCTTCTGCCTTCTTCTTCACGTTCACCAGCTGTAAACTCTGGTGGAAAGTTCTGGTTGTTTGTCCACTTCTGAACAGCAGTCCTGTTCCAGAACTTGAGTGTTGCATGTGCATCTGTTTGACAAATCTGACTAATTTGTATGCAGACTGTTGAGCCTCTCAGGCAGATGCACTCCGACTTTGAAGGAAGCTCCCAATTAGTCGACTCAATGACATGCTTTTGGGTAGGCTATTCTTGTTTTCCCTATAACAGGGCCTGGAACCCAAACGGGGGCGTTTTAAAGTACTATCTCTCTTTTGACCTCCCAAAGAGTATCAGTATCATATGTATGGGCATTTTATACACCGGGGGAAAATATGGTACTTGTACCTGTTTTGTTAAAGCCTAAGAAACAATTCAAGCCTTGGGTATAAGTGAATAGGTGTGTGTGTGTGGTTTAGAGCTGTCTCTTAGAATCAGTATACCATCCCGTTCTTGCAGGATGAATATTCATCTGTGCTGTTGATCAAACCAAATCTATGTGAGACAAGAGGCGAAGAGGGCCCTACTTGAGTTGTACGACGCCCCGTGCAGTCATCTATTTTGAACCCCCTTTTCCCACAGCTGACTTCAGCATTGCTGTGCTTTTACAGACTGTCAGCAATAAATTGTAGAATTATTCACCCCACATTTACACTGTACTGAAATATTTAAACTTTACGAATTTTGCCACTGCCCCCATTGCTGTGCTTTTACAGACTGTCAGCAATAAATTGTGGAATTATTCACCCCACATTTACACTGTACTGAAATATTTAAACTTTACAGTAAAAGCAACATGAAACAAATTTGCAATTTGAGACCACTGATGTTTAGTATAAGATGAAAGTTTCGTAATCACAAAAGCAATAAAAATAAATTACTAGATATATTTTGCTGCACTTAGAATTTTGCCACTGCCCCCTAACCCCCCCCCCCCCACACACACACAAAAAATTATGTTCTGTTCAGTTGCGCATATCCTAAATATGGCTTTTGAGGTGAATATCAAATCTGCAAGACCTCTGACCAGATGGGCAGAAATAATCCTAGAAGCTGCTGAAATTAATATGTCTTTGAGTCCCAAGTAATGCCCGATGTTGTAACTGATATAGCCCTTGATTTCCCTCTATAGCCTAGCATATTGTTCTCTTTTGCTGTTTTTTTTTTTGTCAGAGCATACTAAGGAAATCTGGCTCCTCCAAGTGGTCACTACCGCAGTGTTCTGGTTCCTGCCTATTTAAAAAAAGAAAAAAGTCAAAGACTTATCTGACACCAGTAGTTCATGTGACATGATTCTGGACCCATGTTTTTATAGACCCAAAGTACCTCCATGAGTGATGAGGTCAACATATGCTGGCCACCTTTACTTCCAGAGTATTTCCTGACCTGTTTCTAGAACAGAATAATGCACTGTTCTATTTGCTTTGCTTGTTGTTATTATAATGACTTCTTTTAGATAAACAACATTTTATGTCATCATTTTCTGGTCATAAAATAAATATTTGTGACAGTACTATTTTTTCACCATGTGTTTTTCTTTTATCTGAATGTTGACTGTAATTTTGTATTGCCTTGGGATCAGAATAATTTGAACCATATCAAATTCCAAAGAGCGGTAGCTGAAGCCATGGTTTAATGTTTTGACTAGGAACAGGACACTGCAGACTTAGTACACATATGCACAGAATTAAAGCTACACAGTCCGCCCAGTGTCCCTGCCAAACCACATTCCAAACACCTGAGCACAAGCTACAGCAAAACCTGTGAGAAATCACGTGGCTGGATGAGGGAAGAGACATCCAGGACAAACTTTGGGAGAACCCTTGGAGACTTGCTGCTGGAGTGCCTGTTCAAGGGAGCAACGTGACTGGTATTCTGAGCATATGAAACCGATGCCAGTGAAGAAAGAGCCATGGTTCTTGGAAGAAAAAGCTAGGGTCGAAGTAAGCTAAACTTCATTAATATAAACTTGCTTAAGAAGAATACTCGATTATTTGCAGTGTTATTGGCCGCTACCAACAAGTAGAACACAATGTGTAGCTGGCTGCTCACACGACAAGCAATATAGAAACCTCAGAGCATCGAAGACAACACAACGTGACACCCCTGTAACATAGACTAGCGTGTGTGAAAGGTCACCAAGTGTTTGTTTAGGTGAAAAACATTACTAGTTCCAAATTAACATATGGGGAGCAGATGTGTAAGTGAGGTAGTGGGGATACATACCATGTTCCTCTAAATATAAGACAGGGCCTTATATTTATTTGTGCTTTTCTAAAAAGCCTTAGGGCTTTTTTTCAAGGAATGTCTTACTTTAGTGTGTACAGAAATCAACATTTATTCAAGTAGAAAAAAAACGAGTCTTCTGCGCAAGTGCCACCATGTTTTGCAGTAGCTTTTGTTTCTCATTTAAAGATGCTCGCTTGTTTGTTTACAAATTGTTATTAATAATGTTTTTTTTAACGCTTTTATATCAGAAATACTATTTTCTTATCTGATTTATAAATTTTTTACTTTATAATTCAATCAAACTGGTGTGTTTTCAATGGTAAACGAAAATCCGCCTGTCTGGCTGATGATCGCAGCTAGGGCTTATATTACAAGCATACTGAAAATTAAGCTAGCGTTGATTTTCAGGCTAGGTCTTTCTTTCCCCAGGAAAACACGGTAATGGTGTAAGAAAAAAAATTAGATTTTTTTTATTAATGGCGTTCACAGGTGGAAAACGCCAGCGGAAGGTTCTGGCTATTCGTCCACTTCTGGACATAAGTCTTTTCTAGAACTTCAGTTTTTCGTGCAGATCCGTTTTACAGATCTGGCTGACTTGTAAGCCGAACGGCCTTAACTTTCTGCTGGAGTTTACACCCGATGAACGAAAAGAAGAAGAATGAATTAGATGACAGAAGATTTTGAAGAGTCGTCGTCGATGTCTGCCGCAGGTCAGACATCTGAAGAAGAACAATGGATGAGAAGGAGGACAAGGGATAGCTTCATTAACGTTTGCTAGCAACAGTAGGGTGAAGATCATGCACACTTACACATAGACACAAGAGGCAGCACATTTTGTTTATTTTTTATTTTACACACATGAATTACATGACACAATTATTCCCACGATTATTCCCACAATCACAGTGGCTGTCTGAACGTGTCCACCACTGTTTGATTGTCTCTGCGAAGTCGTTGCATTGTTCCCAAGTTTCTTCCTTCTTACAAAATTTTTCTTTGTCTCAGTAATGTTTGTAGATCGTGAAGTGGTATCTTCAGTTGGTTTGGCTTCTTTATCCACAATCATCTTAGTTAAATTGGTTGTTGTAACGTTTTCAGGACTTCTTTCAAATTCTGCTTGATCAGACACCAGCCATTCGTTTCTGCCAGGGAATACGGCTGGGGATCGAGTTTTGTTGTTTTGGAAACTCGCGGGGCTTGAGAAATTAAACTCTCCACTATCCGTGATGTTTCTGACATCTGCAGGGATACTCGGACTGACGGGCGTCTTCACTGCCAGGAGACGCCGGCAAATGTCTGGTAAAATCCCAATTTCGCTAATTGCCATAGCTCTAGAGACTTGTAATCCACACGGCTGCATGGCGTTGTCCAAACAGGCAGCTCTGGTCACCGACGTCCTAGAGTTTGACATAATAATTTGAAAATTAGTTAATATAAAATATTATTAGGTTCAGAACATTTTGATGCAAATATGTCTTAAAGAACCACCTGCCACACGCTAAAGCAATCTTTCCCATTTGGAGCCGTTGGAACAAATTTATGGAGTCAATTTTACACATTACAAAAACTCACCCACATATTAATACAATTCCCCCCCCACCCCCACATGTGGGTTCCAGGGCACCTGTGTGGAGTGGGGGGGGGGGGCAGAGCGGTGATAGAAACACTGCCTCATTAAGTGTCGAAGCAGTGGACTAATCATGGGTGTGTTTTTTAAAGCCAGAGTCTGAGAGGCGAGTAACTAACAGTCTGCATGCACATAACCTGGATACGTCAATTGGATATGCATGCAAAATGCAAGCACTGGAACATGACCAGAGTCTTGTGAATGGCCAGAGTCTTGTGAATGACCAGAGTCTTGTGAATGGCCAGAGTTTTGTGAATGACCAGAGTCTTGTGAATGGCCAGAGTTTACAGCCCATGAACGCGAAAAAAAAAGAAGTAGAATTGGAAGACATTTTGTTGTTGCTGCTTCTAACACAGTACATTTATCAAATATAATAAGTTATTAAGTATAAAATGCATGTAAAGGACCCCCTTTCCACGCCTTCTGCCGTACTGGGCATATAGGGCAAGACCTATATTTTATTGACTAATCAGCACTCGAAGGGTGAAATGGCCGCCTTTACTTCTCAAGACTCTACCTGGTACATATTTAAGGCTGGGTCGACCGGGGAGCCAAGGTCATTTTTTGAAGAAAAAAATGATTCGGTTACGTCAGGGTCTGGATCCACGAGCTTCCGACCCGCAGGCGAGCGTCTTGTTACTACACCACGACGGCTCCCAATTATTCAGTGTGATTATGAAAAAGAATAAGGTTAGTGGACCTGCGAAAACAATGAGTCCTGATGTCTTAGCTAAACTAGAACCACTACGCTATTAGTGTTTTTTTTTCCCTTCATTAAAGTGACTGAGCACGCATATGTTTTGTTTGCAGTTTACAGACAAATATAGTAAAGCTAGGGAAGTGACGCAACCTCTTTTGCTAGGCGTGATTAATTCGCATGTGTATGCATTAGCAAGCAACGATTACACCAGGGCATTCTCGTCACATCACCAAACCATCCAATATGTTTTGCTTCTTTTTTTCTTTCGCCGGTGTTGATCCTCAAACCTTTCAGATGCAAACATGAATGATTATGGGGGCTGCGTGGTCTCAAAGCATGGTGTCCACCACGAGTGCTAGAGGTTCTGGGTTCAGTCTCCGGTAAGAACTGGTATTTTTTCACGTGGACTTAGACTAATTCCCCCTGGTCTCCGTGTAGTGAGATCGGACACCTGTGTGTATTGTTGCGCATGTAAAAAGAAAAAGAAATCCCTTGATTGTTGAAATTCGAAGAGAGTAGCCTAACGGCGCTGCCAGGACACAAGTTGGAGTTAAAAAATCTACCCTAAAGTATTTCAGGATCCTTGCCGGTGCTACAGAGCCTGTGCAATGTGCTCAGCTTCTTCGGACTCAGACTTGAGTTAACAGAAGAACGAAGCACTTATGGGTTACCACCAGTGTGCCATGATGTTGATCCGTTGTTCAAACTTCAGATTCAAACAGCGCGCCACTTGTGCTTGTTCATGTTATCTTCAGTTGGTGCAAAAACACCCAACAACACATTAGTCTCCCACAAGGGATGTGTGTTTGGGCCCTGTGGGTCTAGTATACCCATTTTTCCCCCTTTGATTTCACAACTGGCTCACTGGAGGGCGTCAATTATGACCTTTTGGGATGGAAACATTTAAAAATATTGTTTCCACGTTAGGTTGTCATTTACAATGTTGTCAGCCAATATATCCCATTGTAGAAAATTCCAAATTAATAGCCTTTTACGACAGGATTGCTGCCACACCCTCCCCCATCCCCTTCCCCATAAGAACCTTTACTTTTTAGTGACGCTTTTTAATGTGTTGTATGTACGGCTAGTTTCAGTCCCAGTCAACTAACATGTTGATTTCCCACAGTTGACTTCCACGCAACAGACAGACTGACACAGTAACAGCAGCCCAGGTCTTCTTACCTGCACGCCAAAGTCTGCAGTTGAAGCCCATCAAAGTCTGGATTCTTGAACCACTCCTCTCTAATGGCTTCCACTTCCCGGCCGAAGCCGACCTCGCAGGCAGCCAGGCCAGGTTGGGATTTGTTGAAACATTCGCTTGTGATCCGAGGAATGACGTGTTCTGGTAGAAGAGAATAGTTTGGCAGGTATCAGTGGCACGAAGACGGCTTTGATATGCACAATGGTCCAGACTTGCCGCGAGCTTAAAAGGTCGTGGGTCAGTGGCGATGTGTGATCAATTCGCATGTGTAAGCTTTAGCAAATAACGATTACACTGGAGAGGTGATCACGTGAATTTTTTTATCCTCGTCGCTTCGCTGTTGAGAGTATGCATGCGCTGCTAGCATTTTAGTACTGGTAACTGGTAGCTTTCACGCCTTAAAGTTTCTTCATGCGCCCTCACATACTTACTGGGCGTGTGTACTCAAATGTGTAACATTTTAATTTACATTATAATGACATCAGAGTAAAACAACTTTCAAAATCAATTTTCTTTATGCATGGAAAGTCTACTAAACATTCTAATACATCTTTGTGGTATCTTCTTACTTGTTTCAACTGGTCGTATTCGGCGGTTGGTGAGCACAATATCACTCCACACGCCTTCTGACTTCTTAGCGTTGACCGGCTGTAAACTTTGGCCGAGAGAGTTGCTTGTTCGTCCAATTCTGGACTTGGCTCTTGTACCAGAACGTGACTTGCGTTAGTTAGTCTTTCCTCTTGTGTCGAGTGCGGCACATAGGGCAGAGGTCGCGACTCTCCATGCACGGCGGTCCGTTGCAATCCGTTGTAGGTCTTGGATGTTTGAGTGGCCCATGAGCGAGCCTTCCCTGATGATAGTTCTACGTAGGGTTTCCCTTGGTCTTCCACGAGATCTTTTCCCCTGTGGTGTCCAAATGAGGGCTTGGTAAGGAAGTCTTGATTTATCCATTCTAAGGGCGTGGCCGACATAGTTCCAGCGGCGTTTTCGTATAAAATTAGACACATACTCTTGCCTAGATTCTTGCCTTATTTGTGTATTTGTTCGGAAATCTGACCATTTGAAATTTAGTATTACTGTTGCGTGCACAACCTTTTTACAGATATGACTTATTTGTATGTAGACTGTTGGTTTCTTGCCCCTCAGGCCCGATACACTCCGACTTCAAAGGACGCTCCCAATTATTCGACTCTTACGGCATGCTTTTGGAGAGGCAGTGGGTCTCCGCTTGCTTTTCCTACAATGGGACCCCTGAACCCACACAGGGAAGCCATAGATCAATTGTAATAATCATCCCTTTGTGAAATGGAACTCGAGCCCGTTTGTTGGCAGGCAAGTATCTAGTCACTGGATTACCAGTGTTACCAGAGAAATGAAGATCAACTTTCTACTCGCGCCTGGAAAGAGTACACACTTGGTCCCCTTTCCGCGCCTTTAGGCGTAATGGGCATATAGGGCTAGACCTATATTTTTATAGACCAATTGGCACTTGGTGGGTGATGTGGTCAGCATCACGCCGGCTGTCTTTACTACCCAGGATTGCAACTAGTACCCGCTCAAGGATGGGTCGACCTGAGAGTCAAGGTCATTTTTAAAAGAAAAATAAAGTCGGGCTCCGTCACGACGGGAACCCACATCCTTCCGATCCGCAGGCGGGCGTCTAGCCGCTAACGCCACTACGACTCCTTACAGAATACAGACGAAACCCTCATAAATGGCTAAATAATAAAATTTAAAAAAAAATGAAAACTAAACTTAATAAAGGCAGGAGAAAATCGGAGCTTTTTAACTACAATAATTCAGATAAATTCTTAGAATACCATGGACCAATAAGAATAAAAGCGTCGACATCCTGCG